TTTTAAAGGAATCCCAAGATCACCAGGATAACACATGTAAGCCATGCTCCGATTCATTGAAGGCAATTACTAAAGCAAGTAAGCAAAAATCAAGATCATCTTCTGTACCGGCCAAAGCCAAAGCACCATTGTCAGCTTGTGGACCTGAAAAACTTCGTGCTACTGTCAAGGCTACACGACTGCAGAATAAACAGCTAGAGGACAGGCTAGAAATTCTGCAGGCAAAGATCGAAAAAGATGGTATTGGAGTCAGTGCATCACTCGAGACTGATTTACTAAAAATTATGGGAGGACAGAATCTTGAAGCGACACCTCACATGAAATTCTTCTGGGAGCAGCAGATGGCTTTGATGCAGTCAAAGAAAATGGGAAGAAGATACCATCCCCAAGTGATTAGATTTGCCTTGTCTATCCATGGCAAATCACCATCCGCTTACAGAGAGCTTCAAGATAGTGGTGCTCTGATACTCCCTAGTGAACGAGTGTTGAGGGATTATAAGAACTACTTTAAACCTAAAGCTGGGATCAACAAGGAAAATGTGGAATGCCTAAGAGAGAAAATTAAATCCTTTACTGAAGTCCAGCGGTATGTAGCTATTGTGATTGATGAGATGAAGATACAGTCTAATCTTGTCTTTGACAAACACTCTGGCGACCTAATTGGTTTTATTGACTTGGGTGATCCAATGGTCAATTTTGCTTATGTGGAAGAGGAAACTTTTGCATCCCATGCTCTTGCATTTCTCGTTAGGGGACTGTGCACTGACCTCAAACACATCATCGCATACTTTTTCACCAAAGATCTGACATCCTTCCAGCTAATGCCACTGTTCTGGAGAGCTGTGTCTATCCTCGAGTTGTCACTGCAGTTGTATGTGTGTGCAGCTGTGAACGATGGTGCATCTGCCAACAGAAAGTTTTTCCGCCTGCATTCACAACTGGCACAAGATTTGAAGTGTGATGTTGTATACAAAACACGAAATGTGTTTGCAATGTCACGCTTCATCTATTTCTTTGCAGACTCGCCTCACCTCATCAAGACAGCTCGGAACTGTTTGTACAACTCCGGTTCTGGTTCCTGCAGCCGATATATGTGGAACAATGGACAATTCCTGTTGTTTCGTCATATTGCTGACCTCTTTTATAGTGACCAGGAGTTTGCACTTCACACACTTCCCAAGCTAACAATGGATCACATCGTGTTAACCCCATATAGTAAGATGAAAGTGAAACTGGCAACGCAGGTACTTAGCAAGTCTGTGATGATTGCTCTTCAGGAGAGTGGGAAAGAAGATGTTCAGGAGACAGCTAGGTTTTGTGGCATGATAAATGATTTCTTTGACTGCACAAATGTTCGGTCTTTGACAGAACATATTAGAAAAAGAAATCCATTAATCAAGCCATATACCTCAGCTGATGACGAGAGGTTATCTTGGTTGTTGAATGTATTTCTGGAATACCTGAATAGCTGGAAGAACAATATCGCAACACGGCCTGGTACGTTCTCAGCTGATGAGAGAGGCAAGATGTTCTTGTCTCCGCAGACATATGAAAGATTCAAGATCTCAGTTTATTCGCATGTTGAAGCGATCCAGTTTCTCTTGGAGAAAGGATTCCAGTATGTCTTGACTGAGCGATTCATGCAAGATGTACTGGAAGACTACTTTGGGCACCAACGAAGCAAAGGAGCAAGATCAGACAATCCGACAGCCCAACAATTTGGATACAATGACCTAACTATTGCATCACAGCGAGACATTGCCCCAATTATACGAGGGAATGTTGGGGGAAGGTACGAGAAGACAAAGTGGTACAAAGTCAGTGAAGAGCCAGTACATAAACGTAAGAAGCCATCGAAGGAATAAATAATATTTTGTAATAAAGACACAGCTGTGAATTCTCTATTAATAGTTCCCTTCAAAATACCCCCACAATAGGGGAAATGTTGCTTTAAGACAATTTGTACATGTATGAATGACTTTAGCCTCTTCCGTAGGCATCTTGTAGTACTTACTTAGAACAGTGAACTATATACAGTTCTGTTATATAGTTCAGTGACTAAATTATAGAAGTTCTCGACAATTAAGAGATGTCTGTTGAGGAAGCTAGAATGACTTATTTATCCAAGCTTTTATATCGAATAATCTTCCTGTTTTAAAAATCTTAGGGAGGGAACAACTGTTCTAGTGTTGTTGTTATTGTTAACATTTAATGCCAACACACAAGTGGATATTGAACAGGCCTTGAATGCCTGTTTGCAAAAGTGGTAATAGCAATGTACCCAGATATCTTACTTTAGAATTTACATTGTCTAACACAAGACAACTTTTTGGTATCTGATAAGGTGTTGCTATTAAATGGGTAGTGTACATTTAGTTCACAATAATAACAGTACCATTATTAGTACTTGTTTGAATCTTAAAAAACCATGGGATATTGTAATGTTTGGTTTTTATGTACTTTTTGCCATTTGAATTTTTGGACTATTGGACTATACTTTTATTGAACTTTATAATGGCAGGCTGAACACTTCATTAGGTAGTTAAATAGTACCTAATAACTAATTGTAAATATGCTGGAAAGAATTGTTTCTATTTCAAAGAACACTTAGGCCTGCTTCATACGCCATAATTTACATGTGCCCAATACCATACAAATAATGACTAAAATAGATGAGGCATTCCAGCCCATCTATTGTTTATAATGTATTCAACACATGTGAAGTATGGCGTATGAAACAGGCATCATAGGTAAGAAATGTGAATACACTTGAAATAACCGTTTGTATATACCGGGATGGCCAATTAGGTCATGCTCAAGAGATATATTGAAGGAAGATCCCAAACAATGTATGTGTTTCTATTGTCTAGATGCACCTTACACTAGTTTTTTGTTATCAATCTAATGCCAGACTCCTTGGTTGTGCACATATCATGTATGTGGGGTATTTGATCATCAAATGCATCCCCACCCTGGGGATTTTGATTAGTATTTTGGCCCAGAGTTGGGGCAATTTGAACCGAATGACTTTTATTAATATATTATGACCAATATTTATTGCCCCCCCCTCTGGGGCTTAACATTGATAGGTGCATTAGGGGGCCAGGAATGTCTAAAATGCCTTAAAATAGTTACTTGTTTGGTTTGAAATCTATACCAAGTTGGTATAAATTTAACCAAAATATTAACTTGGATACTAATTTTGGGAAATAGCTTTCATAATGTCAAAAGTCAAAATTTTGAAATTGTGAATTTTGAAATTTATACTGTGTCATTTTCAACACTACTCACTAGGGTTCTGTTATTAAACATGAATATATTTACAAATTTCCATAAAGTACTTTTCAAAAGGTCTCACTTAAATTCTATTCATTTCTGTTCTGCTGTTTTGCGTCTATATTATATGATACTTGATTATTCTGGCATAGAATTATGAATTAAAATGATATAACGTTCAGTCATATTTTCCAGACACAATTTTATGGGTTGAATTATATAAAGTACTATAGACTTGGACACTCACAGTAGCTTGACATTTGGCAATGTTAAATTATCCAATTTATTTATTGGAATGTTTCTCCAGAAACGAAATGTACTTTGTATTAAGGTCTATAAATCATGACGCAATTGTATCTTGAAAAAGCATAAAAATACTTCGTTCGGTTTTAACTGTGATTTAATATTTTTAAGTCTTTTATTGTTTTAATAGTACCATTCTTCGAATACAAACGTCGTTGCACAAATAGCACGGGAAAGAATTTCAGCCGTCGATTTCGTTCAGGACTTCAGGGAATCTGAAAATTCAGTACTTGCTTCACAAGGTTCTGCTTCGGCATTAATGCCTGAATGGCAACATAAACCTTGATGATATATAAATCTTCATCTATAGATTTACTATATTTCGCTCGCTCTTCGTCCCCAAACGGTACTGACATTTGCGACTGTTGAAAAATCTCCTTGCTTTAGTATTTACGCCTCACAAAGGTCTATATGCCTTCAGAAATCTCTCTTCTTTCGACATCACTTGCCATCGTAAATGTAAATGCTCCGAACGATCAAAAAATTGCGTTTTAGTATCAGTAACCCGATACTTCGCTAATAATTCCCTACAAATGTCAACACAAGCGTCCCACTATCTCGTCACGTGACATTTTTTCCCTTTGTGCTCAACATATTTTGCCGCCGTCTTTGAAGTTTGCCGGCTAGCCTAACCATCTCATTCGATTAACTGTGGTTTAACCAACATTGTCAACGCGAAAATTTTTTGGATAGTTTTATCAATGGATATGAAGTACGCCAATATGCTCCAAAAGGTCAACCACCTGCTTTTAACTTTGAACGACATGATTCCCGTGCAAAACTCACTGTCTGGGCAGCACTCTGCGGTATTGGTTTGCTTGTGGGACCTTATCTTTTTTTGACGGAAATGTAAACGGGATCGCTTCTGGGAAGGATTGTTTCTGGGTCTTTGGAGCTGACCGTCTCATGCAAGTAAGGGACAGCCTGAACGAAGTGTTTGGGAATAACCGCGTTGTAGGATTCGGTCATGATGTTGAACGGCCATTTCGACTCCCCCTCAGAATATGGAGGATTCATGCAGCCAATCGAACAGTTTAATGCCTTACGAGACCAGGCTGCCGTCATCAGAAAAGCAGTGCGCGATATGCACAAGTACGGTAGTTTGTGTTGAGAGAAATGGAGGCCACGTTGAAGGACACGGTGCTTGACATTGTACTTTTGATGTACAATTATAAAATTTTTATTTAATACTCGTATTACGGTTCACACGCTGCGTTAAATTTCATTATTAATTAATTTATTATTTTGACATGCATAAAGCCAGTTTAAAATGTTTAAATTCAGTTAATGAGACAACATGTTGAAAGCAAGTGTTTTGCAAGCTTATCCTCACTGACACATGCATGACAAAGGTGCAAGTGCAACAACACACTACGGGAAACCTTGCAACAACACACTACGGGAAACGTGCCTTCTGCTACGCCGAGTACTTCGGTAGAAACATCAACCGTTAGTTCTACACTGGCCACACAATCGCCTGCCTTGTTGACCGATGCACAACTCGCACAGATTCGATCAATCGTGTCAGAAAGCGTAGAACGATCTGCCGCTGAAATAGCAACGAACGCCGCCCGGGCCGCTGAGCTATGACTTCGTCGACCGCACAAAGCCATCCAGCAGTTCTAACAGAAATCCCGAGTGCTTCCTCCGATGTTCTTCGTAGTCAACCCAGCGCAGTTACAGATGTTAGCACAGTTGATTTAACACAGTTTGCTCAAGCGGAACCAGCCACCCCGTATGGACACGGCGCGCATGATATCCCAGCTTCCTACGTGAAACAGATTCAGTCTGGTGAGTTTTTTGACTTATCAAAACTTTTACCCAGTAGCTTTCCCACTGCCGCCGATGACGAGCCAGTCGTCTTTACGTTAGAAAATTCAGTCCTTAAAGTTAAAAAGTCCCCAGCAACTCAAAAAATCACTAGCATCGAACAATGGACGACTGCGTTTACGAGTTATATGAGCGTCCTTACGCACAAGTTTCCCACCAGATCTCAAGATTTACTCCAGTATCTGTCACTGATTCGTCACGCAGCACAAACACACCGAGGGCTTGGGTGGTGCGTCTACGACCACAAATTTCGCAGAAAAGCTGCCTTAAACCCTCTTCTAAAGTGGTCTGAGATTGACCAACAGTTGTGGTTATTGATTTTCACTACATCACCTGAGAATCTAAAACGAGAATACCCCCTTTTTTCCAATGGACCCCAAAATATCAATTCCTCAGGGGGCGCAAAACGGGGTACAGCCATTTGCCGCGAATTCAACCGAAATGGGACATGCATCTACAACCCATGTCGATACAGCCACGTCTGCAACCGATGCGCAGGTCCTCACCCAGGATATAAATGCGGTGAAAGACCCTCAAGCAATAGCAACCACGCCTCAACGAGTAGTCACAAATCCAGCAAATCAAAGCATCAGTAAGATAATTTTGTCGCTACCGACACCTATATCTGTAGATAATTTAGAAGTAGCACTCACTGGGCACCCAGATACACATTTTACGTCACAAATATGTAATATTTTACGGTATGGGGCAAGAATTGGTTTTCAGGGACAGCGTATCCCACGGTTTTCAAAAAATTTGCCTACAGCGCTTGCCAACCCTAGCATTGTCTCGGCAAATTTGGCAAAAGAAGTCTCTCTTGGCCGGGTGGCAGGTCCATTTGACAGTCCCCCATTCAGTAATCTTCAAGTTTCACCAATTGGCATTGTTCCCAAAAAGAATTCTAAAAAATTTCGCTTGATTTTTCACCTCTCGTTTCCCAAGTCGGGCATGACCAGCATAAACAGCGCAATTTGCAAGGATGATTTTAGTCTACAGTATGTTACCATTGATGATGCCATTGAGGGCATTAAACATTTTGGGCCAGGTTGTTTCCTTGCCAAAACTGATGTTGAGTCAGCCTTTCGGCTTATTCCGGTCCACCCTGATGACTATGAGCTATTAGGTATGTTTTGGGATGGTAAGTACTATTTTGACAAGGTTCTCCCCTTTGGCCTTAGGAGTGCCCCATTTATTTTTAATCAGTTGTCCGATGCTGTTGAATGGATTTTACGTAATAACTGCAAGATTTCTTTTGCATGCCATATCCTTGATGACTTTTTAATCATGGAACCAAAAGCACCTTCCATACCACATGATAGTACATGTTTACAGAGCTTATCTAAAATGCTTCTTACTTTTCATGACCTCAAGATTCCTATCGCTCCAGGGAAAACTCAGGGCCCCTTACAAGTCCTTGAATTTATGGGCATTATTTTGGATACAGTGAAAATGGAAGCCCGGCTGCCTGCAGATAAGATCCATCGCATTAGGACAATTTTTGCCGAGTTTGAAGCTAAAAAATCTTGTACTTTGAAAGAGCTGCAATCCTTAATTGGAACTCTAAATTTTGCATGCAAAGTCGTTCCTCCTGGACGGCCATTCTTGCAGCGGATGATTGACTTAACCAGAAATGTCAAGGAATCCCACCACCATATTAAACTAAATTTGGGATTTTTTAAGGATTTAGCTATGTGGAAACAATTCATCACTAATTGGAATGGGGCAAATTTTTTCCTCTCAACGTTATGGCAAGATGCTGACAGTTTGCAGCTATTTACTGATGCATCAGGAACATTAGGTTATGGGGGGATATTTGGTACTAAATGGTTCCAGGGCACTTGGGAACCTTCCCACCAGCTGGATAAACCAGGCATTAGTATTGCATGGCAAGAGTTATTTGCGATTGTAATTGCATGTCAGCTTTGGGGAAGCCTTCTCTGCAACAAAAGATTAATTTTTAATTGCGATAATGAGTCGGTTGTTAACATAATTAATTCTAAGCGTTCAAAGGTTCCCCGTGTGATGAATCGATTTATTACGCCATCTTACCCTAGTCACATTGAAATTTAATCTATACATTCATGCAAAACATATCCCAGGTAAACGCAATGAAATTGCAGACTCTATCTCTCGTTTTCAGCTGCAGAGATTCAGAAAACTGGCACCACATGCAGATCCCAGTCCATGCCCTATTCCCAGCCAACTGTTGATAATCTGAGAGGGGACATTCAGCATTACATCAACTTATCCATTGCTTCATCCACAAAACAAACTTATAGTGCTGGTGAAAAACGCTATATTGATTTCGTAACTATGTTTAAACAGCAATCACTTGAACAGTGCCTACCAGCAACAGAAGCCATTTTGACAGAATTTGTGGCTTTTCTTGCCAAATCTATAAAATATGCTTCAATCAAAACCTATCTGGCAGCTGTTCGCCATTTGCACATGCGCCAAGGTCTTCAACTAAATTTACCAAAAATGCAACAACTGCAGCTGGTCTTACGTGGCATAAAGCGTTCCCATGGAGACCAATCTCGTGTGCGTTTACCAATAACAATTCATCACTTGCGATTGTTTCACTTAATGCTTGCCATTCCATCAACACAAAATTACGAGTCCCTCATGATTTGGGCAGCCATGACTTTGGCCTTTTTTGGATTTCTTCGTCTAGGCGAACTGACATGTAACACTAAATTCAACCCCGAGGTCCATCTCATGCTTGAAAACCTTTATTTTGCTCCAGGGGTGGGTCAAGGCAACCCCAAATTCATGGCAGTGGAAATCAAAGTCTCCGAAACAGACCCATTCCGTTTGGGTCAAACAATCACAGTTGGCGCGTCCAACTCGCCCCTATGTCCTGTTTTGGCAATGAAGAAGTACCTCTTGGTTAGAAAAACAACAGGTGCTCCACTCTTTGTTCATGTTTCTGGAAAACCTCTTACCAAACAAACTTTAACGGCTGAGACTCGGATTTTATTAAACCAAGCAGGTTTTAATGCGTCACACTATGCTGGTCATAGCTACCGAATTGGGGCCGCTACAACTGCAGCTTCAGCTAATTTGCCTGTGTGGCTAATTAAAACTCCAGGACGATGGTCTTCCGATTGCTATGAACGATACATTCGTATTCCATCTTTTACCCTGTCAAAGGTATCTGCCACCATGACTGCATCACTCAATTAAAAAAAAAAAGGGGGGGAAGGGCGTTTTCGTCTATGGGGAACACTCTATCGCGTGTTTTTCGGGAAGAAGTATTCCAATATGTCAACTTCATTTCCCATAGACTCTAGTAACGTCACATATAAATATATATTTCAAATAATAGGGACTGTCTAAGCGGTTCTGTGGACCTTAGACAGGTTAGGGACTGCCCAAGCGGGCAGGTTAGGGACTGTCCAAGTGTGCTCTTGGTCAGATACGTCAGGGGGTCGCTACTCCTGACTAGCATTATCAGTCCAGTACAGTATTAGGTATGTGACGATGAGGAGGGATGTCGTTTGACATAAACACAGAGTACTTCCCCCCAAAACACCCCTTCTCCCACAAAACCAAAACGTGTGTTTTTTATTGTGTTAATTATAGTTTATATTCAATGATTCAATCTGTGGATCATTAAAGCCAATTTAAAAATGTTTAAGTTCAGTTAATGAGACAACATGTTGAAAGCAAGTGTTTTGCAAGCTTATCCTCATTGACACATGCATGACAAAGGTGCAAGTCGACATTTCCGTGTATTGTTGGTGGGTCAAAGGTTATTGTCTTGAAGCAGCACTGTGTTCATGTGAATATTAATGAAAGAAACGCTTTTAGCCAATGAAAAGCTTTTACGTATCCCAACTAAAACCAACAGCCAATCACAAAGCAAGTAGGAGCATAAGTTATGCATCACACACAATTTTTTGGCATTATTTGCTCAAAGCTTTTGATGGATTTACCTTTGAGCTCCATGTTACAAAGTTTAAATACCACCCACCCACCCCATCTTACTTGCACTTTGGTTATTGCGTTTGCTTCCAACACCTTGTCCACATAGTAGTTGGTAAAAGGATCTCATTATAATTAGCATATTATAAGGAAACAATGGCTTCCTGCTGTAAAGCTTTCCAAAATGAAAGACTATAAGAGGTGTAAAAGCGCCTATGGACACAAGTTTTTATAATATGGTAAATAAATAATAATAATAAAAAATAAAAAATGTTATTGTTATGGTTGGTCTTCGCTGGTAATAAAAGCTTTCCAAAGTGAAAGACTATCAGAGGTGTAAAAGTGCCTATGGACACAAGTTTTACAATATGGTAAATAATAAAAATTGTTATGGTTCCTTTACTGGTAATAAATAAATAAACATTGGGTTCCGGGGAAGAAGTATTCCAATATGTCAACTTCATTTCCCATGGACTCTAGTAACGTCACATATAAATATATATTTCAAATAATAGGGACTGTCTAAGCGGTTCTGTGGACCTTAGACAGGTTAGGGACTGTCCAAGTGTGCTCTTGGTCAGATACGTCAGGGGGTCGCTACTCCTGACTACCATTATCAGTTCAGTACAGTATTAGGTATGTGACGATGAGCAGGGATGTCGTTTGACATAAACACAGAGTACTTCCCCCCAAAACACCCCTTCTCCCACAAAACCAAAACATGTGTTTTTTATTGTGTTAATTATAGTTTATATTCAATGATTCAATCTTTGGATCATTGAACAACATAAAAACCTCATGCATGGTCGGTCTTTAATTGAAATTCAAGAAAGACCTCCCAATGAAAGACCTCCCATTCGGTTTTTACTCTGTTGAGAACAACTTGAGAATCCCTGCTTCGACAAACCCGTACAAATCTTCATTAGCGCTTCTCAGTTGTATGAGCTATTTCAAACATATTTCATCGGAATTGTTGTTGGTGAATGAATATTTAATCAAGCTTCTCATTGATAGTATACAGTAATGCGACACAAGAATTGATGCATATCAAATGCGAAAGCCCTGTTTGTTTTTATTACAACCATGGTAATTCAAACTCATTTAAAGAACAATACATATCATAAAGTAAATTTCATTGTGGGCCAGTCCTTACAAATATGAACTAAGTTAGTTAGATACCTCAAACGTCGGCTCTTAGTCAGATAAATCCCTCGGGGCCTACAGCCCCTCGGGTTTGTATCTGACTAAGAGCCGACGTTTTCAGGATCTAACTCTTGCTTTTTCATGTCACAACAGATATAAACGTATCCTTATATTCTGATGAAAGGATTCGGATTAGACTTTTGTAGTTTATGGCATGTACTGGATAATCTTTGTATTTAACACCAAAACTAAAATCATACCTGCACACATTATAAACTGAAATAACTTTGTAAAGCTCTCAAAGGCATGTTTACATGCTGCGATTTGTCGTGTACGATGCGCATTATAGCGTATAACTGCAAATTACTGCTGACGCCACCATTCATCTTCATTGAGTTTATGGCGAAATTTGAAATACAAACACTTTACACGTTCTTATTCTATTGCATATGCCAGAATACGAATCATACCGACAAAACGCAGCTTTAAAAACGCACCTTGTACCTTTAAAATGCCAACTATGCTGTGCACATTATTTTTTTAACAACAAGTTTATGGTATGGGCCTCAAACTAATTTGTCATCTTGTAAACGTACAGCTATTAGTAAAACCAGGAACACCGGAACAGCATCATTCCAGAACACTGAAAATTCTTAATTTGTTAAAAACAGAAATCCTCGCAGAAATCGGTCTCAAAGTAATAAATATGTGCCCGAAAAATAGAAATCAAACCTAGAATTATTATTTGTTGAGAATAAATGGACCATCTTTGTTTGTTGTTGAAAACATGTCAATCAAAATATTATAGTAACAACAGTTGATGCCATTCTTTGTTTTTACCGACTTAGCTACCTTTTGAAGTGCAAAAGGATAATTTTCAATTCTTGTTCGAAGTTGGCATTTAGCATCACTTTAATACAGCAGTTCTTTAATATTGATCCCAGTTTCTCACACGAAATATTTTATAAGCGGCGATGGATAAAAAACCTTTAGTGTGTGATAATATAAACCTTGCGCTCAATTAAAATGACAGAAATTCAAACAAATATAATTATAGGCCATGTAAGTTGTATATATAAATGATGCTTCAACGCATGCATGTGTATTCGTCCATGTTTAACTCATTAAGTTGCAGACTGTTGCAACATTGGCACTCCCCAAGTTGCAAGGAAAATGGCGAATTTTAGTTACTGTCAACTTCTGTCAACTGCTTTTACAAAAATACCCATATCTCAAGATCAATGTTATAAAAAACCTTGAAATTTTGCAGTGGGTTAAAATGATAAATGATTAATCAATTCTATTTTAAATGAGCTCCCACACTTAAATATATCATTAGATTTTTGGGTGAGAATTCTTGGTTTGTGTAAATTTAAGTCTCTGACATTTTGTTTCTTCATGACACCCAACATCTGAAGGGCAATAATTCAATAACCCAACATAAATGGAGAAATATTTTTTGATTCCTGGATTGGTACACATTTATTTTCAAATTAGTTTTCATCTTGTAGGGTATAAATTACAAAATAATGAAACGCTATAAAAATTTGCTTGGGCATAGCTCAGGCACACTCAGGACATCTAGTTTACAATGGAGAACTTGAACTTCAGAACTTGTTGTTCAAGTCCAAAAACTCTGTAACCCAAAAACACAGTGTTTGTACCTCTTTGAAGTTTTTAAATAGCTCAAATATGTTTGGAAAAACACGAAGTACAAAAATTACTAATTAAAATATAAACAAAGGATGAAAAAGGTGAGAAAATTTTAAAATATTTGAGGTGTTTTCAATTCTGACTTTGACAGCCGGCATTTTCAAACGCAGCGTGCGGTGACAAAACAAAAGGCTTTTTATTTCGCTATTAAGAGCACTGAAAGTCGTCAAAAAGAGATAAACACTTTTGAATATTCATCAGGTAAGAATTTTAACTGAAATTCCTTTTGTTTCTGTTGAGAAAACAACGGATTTGTGGCTAAAACGTTGTGCGCGCCAATGTAGGTTGCTGTAAAATGTCAGACAGGCGGTTTCTTTTGAAATCTGACTCTAGTTTGAAATCTGACTCTAGCTTGAAATAAGTCCTTTTCAAGGACCAATTGTATAAAAATATAATATGTATGCTCAAATAAAATGAATAATCTAATATTTAGGCATTTTAGATTGCTATAAAAGAGTGAAATAAAGTATTTCATCTTTGGTTGTTTGTCAGACGAGAGTAAACACATTGGTGACACTTTGTTGCGCATGCAGTTTTCAAAAGATAAACTGCTAAAAATATAGCTTTTATTTCACCAAATAGCAAAGTATCTTGCAGATATTATTAAAAGAGCTCAAGCGAAGTAATTCCATGATAAATAAGTGAACAATGAGACCAAAAAAGCGACTAAATTACAATTTTGGAAAGTACATAAATTTAATGGCTTCCCGCAAAAGAAGCCATTTCAGAGGAGAACGGCATTTTGTAAACTACTCTCCTGACCTATTTTAAACTTTTCCTTCAGGTAATCGATGAGTACTTCTTAGAAAATGAGCGTACATTAGTTTTATGATGTGCTTTATTGATTTAAAAATTTTATGGGGATATATGAAGCAATAAAGTGTATTTTAGAAGCTTTTCAAATCCCTGTCATGAAGGTTCAGAATTCGCACGCGCCAAGTAACGGCATAATTCAATACACTGATTTTAAACCACATTATCTCTGAAATGAGAGCTCGTTTCGAGACAAAGTTTATAGAAACAGATATAGTATTCATTGTAGAGTATTCTACTTAGTTTTAATGCGGTTTTACTCGAAATTTTTCTTGCCAAAATGTATATACGCACATGACAAGTTGAACCTACTGTCTTCTGAAAGTACTTCAGCTAAAATAACAACTTGAGCAAGACGACCAACAGTAGGGTCACGAAAACAGTCGAAATCATGCCATAAAATGCACGAAAAGTTCTTCTAAAAACTTAGTTTTAAACTAGATTGAACTTGCTTTAATGCTATATCGTATTTCATGAAAACATGCCAGGTATTTTCATTCAAAAACACGCTCAAAAAATCGTAACTACTCACTTGGATTTAGTGTTCATGTTTCTTGCGATTTCCCACTTCACTTTTCCGTTAGATTGAAAGAAATTGCTGTTTTTCTGGCTGAAAATCGCGCGACTTGATTTGGACAAGAACTTGACTTGAAACATATGCACACTCCCTTATGTTTTACAATATATTTTATATATAAAACACTTTAAAAACCTCTTCTTTTTCATCCTTAAAACTTGCTGCAAAGTCCTATCTTGTGACACTTTGCGGTTGTCACAGGTTTTTTAAAAAAATAGAGTTTTAAAATCGAAAATCTTCGCAAACTTTTGATCAATTTTCTCGCATGATGTATCGTTTGAAAGCCCGAATTTTGCACTTTATACTCGTGACCGTTGCTAGGCAACCCGATAAATACGCGCTAGACAATCGTGCCCGGAAGTTGACGTGTCATCCAGGGCGCATGAGGGCGCAATGAGACTTACCCCGTTCCCAATTCCAGGGCGCATGGGGGCGCAATGAGACTTAATGAGTTAAACTGTAAATTAAACTGTCACTCAGTGAGGGAATTTTAGTACGAGTAAAAATCCTACCACTCTATCTCTGTTTTCGCTTGAGTTTTCGCTTGCCCTGAGATTCATTGTTGCTATCTAATATGGCATAGTATACCGAGCATACTACATATAAAAAGGTCGCACACGACACTAGGCTATATATGTCCTGTATATATCATTATCGAGGTACTGACACAGTATAGCACGAAAGATTGTATACACTAAATTATTCCCTTTTAGGATGTGCCATTTTTATATTTATAAACAGGAAGTTGATTTTACAAACATGTCAGCAGAAGATGACATATTCCTCTAGTTTATTTTAGCCAATTTGATTTTTAACTATGGAAGAAATTAAGTTTTTCGGGGCAGTGAGAATCTGGCAAGCCTGACGTGTTTTAAGGTTGACAAGTTTGTATAAGTCGCCAGCCGTATTGCATATTGTTATACCACATTAGAACAAATTAGAATGAATAATGTCTCAAGTATCGAATCACAGATTGCTAAATTAATAATTCATTCTTCAATATTTTTCCATACTTTTATACTCAATCGGCGGAAGTTGAAAATTACACATCTATTTTTCAAATGCAAGTTGTAAAATCAACTTGTTTATAAATATAAAAATGGTGCATCCTCTATATGATGTGATTTTTTGTTGATATCAAACAATACAAAAGCAGAGTCGGTGGTTACAAAGACAAATAGCGGCCCTGTCAGTTTGAACAAAAAAGTTTCTTAATGTTTTAATATAAATGAGCCTACCTTGCTATAAAAGCAATGCCCCTTTGTCAATACAATACAATACAATTTTATTCACATTCTCTTACAGAACAAGTTACAAGTTAATGAATATTCTATTATTTTGGTGGTTTTTTTAGTAATAATCTTCAAAAGTAATACTAGAATATAATGTTTGTGGAACGAAATGCCTAGAGTCTAAATTAACCGAAAGGTTTTCTAGTTAGGCTCTAGATAGATAGAGTATCAGTAAACGTAGCTTAGCATCGTATTTGGTAATAACATACATAGACAAATCAAATTCCTGTCGGATTTATAAATACTTAAAATTTTTCAACGCACAATTATAAATGTCCATCTCCAGTGTCTTTCAACATCCGTTCGATATTTCAATCTGTTGCGATATTAGTGAACTCAGCTGGATATTTTTTGACCGGAAATAGGATTTAGATTTGCCAAAACGTCGTGTGTTTACATCCTAGCGCTAGGGAAACGTCTGAAATTGATTCTAAAGGTCAAATTACATCTGCAGCATTATTTGCACGTGCATTGGGTCACAGGTACGTCTTATTCGCCAATTTTAGCATGTGGCAGGCGCGTGCGAGTAAAAACCCGATATTTTTAAAAACTCAAAATAAAGATTTGTACTGGCTGTGAATGAAATTCTGGATATAGAAGCGCTTGAATGCAGCACATATTTCACTCATATTGATTTGTGGCGAACTCTGAAGAATTCACAAGTTATATACACTATTGTGGAAACAAAATTCCGAATGTTTGGTCAAGCAGTGAGTAAATATATGATTGTTTCGGTTTGTGTGATGCTTTGACGGCATTCGACCCCCTTGAAAAAGTTATTTTATTATGATTTCAATGGTATTCTTTGTTTTAAAGGGGGTGAATATGCGCTGAGATATTTATGTTATAAACAATTGAGTTGTAAATCGTCAAAATGTCGCTGGTCGATAAACAGTTAAAACATCCACAAATTAAGTGACGTCGTATAGATTCCAACATTATTTGTTATTGCTGTATACTCCCATATATATATCAAAACGTACCAAGGCAGCAATGTCCAATGTCATGAAGTGGCGATTTTCAATCCAGCACTAGACCATTCTGCCAAGTACAATTGAAAAGATGATTGCACACAAATTACTTTATATCCATAGAAAACTTTTGATCAATGCACCTAAAACACATTTAATCAACATAATATATCGAAAACATATACTTGCAGAAACAAATTGGAAGCACAAAAATGAGCTCTGGCAAATTTTGACACAAAAAAAATTTGAATCGGTTTCAAACCATTAAAAACTTGTCATGCGATGGTTACCTTGGTAAAATGCGTTTGATTACTTCAATCGTCTTTTAAAACCGGCAAAAAAGCTTCTTTTGACAAAAAACAACAGCTTGAAAAAAACAGTTCTTTTTCAAACACGTTGCTTCCATAATGTACAGCATGCGCATGAATTATTAATTATAATGAGCGAATAAATTATAATCAATAAGCAAGGGTGTGGGCCTGTTGGGTAAAGGGTATTGACATGATTACAATAACGTTTGAGTAAAACTAGGCATAGGTTGTGTTCCTTGCAGAAACCCTTCTTCAGTTACAGTGGCGTAGACAGCCCGAAATTTAGTCCCGCTATGCAAATTCAAAATTATTATCATTATTCATTTCTTTAGAAATTGATTGTTTTCACAGTCAATGAACATGAAAATATTTGCATAGCAGGACCGAATAGTCAGGCTGGCTACGCTACTGTTCAGTTACCCTCACTCTGATTCAGTAATACAAGAACTGGGCTGAATTCTAACAAAATGTTATATCCACACAGGTAATACGAGTCAGAACGTATAGTATAGGAGTTAGTAAACATTATTCCATTAATTTAAATATATTAAATTAATGATAACTATTCTCTCAATGAATTATTCCAATGGTTGTTGCTTATAGCTGTATTCCGGTTTTTGGTTAATGTTTAGATCACACGGACTACAACTAAGACTCATAGATGAATAGAGCAGTTCAATGCATTCAATTCAACTCTCAGAAGATCAACAAAAAACCGTCGACGCAGCTGTAAGTGGCCACAGTTTGTGTATATTTGGTCGTGCTGGAGTTGGAAAAACCACAGTAGTTCAAATAATAAAGCAAGTCCTCTCTTCAAAAGGTATTGACTGTTAAATAGTTTGTCCAAGTGTTGTTTCCTGTGATGCCTATGGCGTTGCTGACGGCGCGAAGCGCCGTGTGAGGGTACTAATCCCCCCCCCCCGGCTATTTACACCCGGGGAAACGCAAGCATTAGCGAAGTCTAAAGTTCATAAAATATCACGGGCGTGACCAACGAACTTGAGTAGGTGGTCATCCTCACTGATCTCAAAAATATTGCTGATTGCTTGTAGGAGTGGGATAAGCAAGATTTCAATTTTAAAAGACATATATCGGCAAGTGTAGTTTAGTTGAATGAACATTTCAAAAATTTCACGAAGTGTTTCAAGTTAAATTTTACATTAAATCAAAGCTCACAAAATGCAAAATAATATACCTACAGTGTATATTTCGGAACCTTATTGTTGTATAGTTAAAAGTACGAATCTTTCAACTATTTTGCAGTTTTGTACAAAAATATGAAAAAATTTAAGATATTGTGTTGTCATGGCAACACTTGAGCGTGAGCCTGCGCTCAAGTGTCGGCCATTTCTGAATACTTCATGTTAATGTAATGTTTGGAAAATATTGGCGAGGGGTTACTGCATGCATTTCTAGTTCCTATTATGGATTACAAACTGCAGAATTGCCTGTCGATTTACTCATAGAATGATCACTTGGACAAAATAATATTGTTGCGCAAATAAGTGGTGTGAATGTACTCATCTGGGATGAAGTTTCTATGTCCAGTCAATGACTTTTTGAGTTGGTTAACGCATTGCACAATCATTTATTGGACAACACATGCGTTCGGAAGAATTCAAGTGATATTGGTCGGCAATTTTCGGCAGTTAAAACTGGTAAGAAATCTGTTAGACAAAGGAGATCCAATCTACGAATCTAAACTTTTCGACGCTGTGTTCCGTCACAGAATAGAACTACCAAAGATTCTTAGGCAAGATTATTCAGAGTGGAAGTTACGAACTGCGTTAGACAAGTTACAAGCAGGAGTGTGATGATGGAACGATATTTTAGTTCATTAAGAAGGGACTTAAGTGACGCCATTGCACCTCTACTTTAGGAAGCTGCCAGTCGATCTTCACAACCAAGACATTCTGGCGCGCATACCTGGCCTGCTGTTAATATTCAAAAGCAGAGATAGTGGACATACCCAGTTGCTCGAAAATTCTATAGATAAAGTGATAGCCCTGAAAGCCGGATGCAAGGTTATGCTACTCTTCAACATCAACAAGCACCTAAACAATGGGAACCAAGGAGTATTTCTCGGAACAGATCCCAATTCTGCCAATGGTGAAGATCAACGTCTTGTCGCTTTCCCCAATAGTGGAACTGTTAAGATCGAGCGAAAGACATGGAGCAGATACGATTCCAACGGTGCTGTGGTTGGAACTCTGACACATTTCCCACTGAGAGCCCAAGGCTTATGCAATGACAGTGCACAAGGCTTAACCCTCGATGCAGCAGTCGTTAATTGTGCACAAGAGTTTGTGTCAGACCACACATACGTAGTCTTGTCGCGGGTCAGAAAGTAAACGTGACTTCAAGTCTTAAATTTCAAGCGATGATTTCTAATTCAACCTCCGGAGAAATTAAAAACAATGACAGCAAGTAGTGACAGTGATGTGGTGTTTGATCAAGCGTTTTCGTGTTGCAGGAAGAACGAATTAGGTGATGAAATGCTCAGATGTGAACGAGAAAGCAACGAGGCAAAAGGTAACAACGAAGATGTTGTGGGGAGCGACGGTGAAGTCATTGCTAGTGAGTTCTACAAGTCGAACACTGGCGTTCAAGTCAATCTGGAAGATGTTTTCTTTTTCATGTGTGCGGAATTTCAGACGCAATTGTCATTTTTGCCAACACGTTTCTCAATTCAAGAGTTTTTGGAAAGTGTGATCAGTGATGTGCATGACAATATGTATAGCGTATCGATTAAATCTGCAGCAAGGTATGGTATTGATCATCTAGATCTCTTTGACCTGCTGGCCCTATTCGAGTCCTATGTTTCCAAAAATGGGGAATCAGTTCACATGACTAATAGTAACTTCACATACGCAGCAGCCAAGATGCATCAGCTTTTTGTAACTAACAAATACCATAGTGACATGATCAGTGCCTTTTCGGTCATTTTCTGGTCCGAATTAAGTGATGGGCAAAGAACTTTGGGTGCCCAGTTGGTCTTTCAATTATTCCAGCTATTCACCAATGAGTTGGGCAACATGATACGCAATAAGGAGTCGCAACCAATATCATTCAATGTCAGCAACATGGGTCCTGATGGAAGGGCAAAGATTTGTTACATTGGTGGATGGGCCATACGAAAAGTTATCCAAAGATCACGAAGGTAATTAATTTTTTTCATTTAGATAGCAATAAAGAAAAATTATGTATGCTATTAACGTTGGAATGAAAATATCACTCCAAATTTGTCACTTATCTAACATATACAGATATCTTATATGTAATATATTCTTTTTTCAGGTATTTGTTAGACAACAAATCATCTCAAAGCTCGCATGTAAGAAGAACGCTGAAAACGAATTGATGAAAGTTGAAATCCTACAGGATAACATTGTGGCCCTTACGAACACCTAGAACGGACCTCCTCAACCCTAGATGCTACTGCAGTCACAGAGTCACTACAATTTCGAGAAAGAGGTCTCCTTCATATAAGCGATTCTGCCTTCAAATTCTTTCTAGCCTTGGAACAAGAAAAACTTAACCGAATTAACATGGAGAAACTACACTTGCACAAAACAGATCTCGTTGACGAAGCACTTATGGAAGTATTGCAACACAAACATCCTCAGCAGATGTTTTTTAAACTATTTGATGCCGCAGATGATGATTCGGTGAGCAACAAATTTATTGGTAATAGCTGCCTTGCCCCCAGGCGCTATAAAACAATGTCATATACAAGTCACTATATAAAAGGTTTACATGAGGTAGTGCATTGCATTATAGGCACACAAAGGGCGATGGGTTTAAACCCCTGGGCTTGTTCGTCGCAATGCACTACTTCATGTAAACCTTTCATATAGTGACTCGCATGAAATTGTTTTATTAGCGCCTGGGGACGAGGCAGTTGGTAATAGCATATTAATTTGCATTCAACAGTGATTCTTGAAAATCCTGCACGTTCCTCTACAATGCTTGGCCAGCGCTTGAAAAAGAATCACCGCATGAAAAAGACCTCACCTATGTAATTATACTAAAATTAGATGCAGAATCTAAGAACTATTGTATAGAAACTGATCTTGGAAATATACAAGGAAGTAGTGACACGTTTCATAAAAATGGGTGCTGGTCAGTTTCTGTGCGACTTCAGGAGGGATTACGACCTACAGAAGTCTCTGGCCAACAGAAAGTCTGTGCTGGTAAGAAAAGAGAAATTATGCAAGAAGCAAATGAAAGTACATTTACCTGTGATTAGTCATCACAGGAGTCCCGGAAAGAAGGTTTTGCACACAAAACTGTTATCCCTTGCTCAGGAAGTCAAAGAAGAAGGATTTGTCTCATTATACAAGAAGGAACTACAGTTATTGTGCAAATGCTATGCAGTTGCATTCCTTTCAAAATGGAACAAGAGGTTGGCATCTGCACTAGTCGCAGAAATCAATCAACACGAACACATGCCACGTCATGAAGAAATATCATTTTATTCCGTTAAAATTGTTAGTGATTGCCAAAGAGTGGACAAAATTCCAATTTTAAGAGTTCGTCGACATTGAAGTTTGATCATGTAGATAAGTTAAAAATAAGAATACATTTAATATGTCATATATGCAGTTGCGTAATGCAACCCCCGGAGGCCCCCATCAAATTCTTAAGTGGGGGCCCTAAAACATTTTTGAACCATACTCATTGAAAAAGGAGGAAAAAAATTTTCCGGACTGTGACATTTAAAGAAATTGTCAGAAAAATCCCCCCCCTTCTATGTCTGAGGCTTGGGGTGAGGCTGAGAGCTATGGTCATTTTTGCCCCCTGTTTCTGGAAACCCGGACCCAGTTATGCCACTGCATATATGTACAAAATAAAATACACAGATTTGTGCTATGGGTTTCAATGCGTGTTCCACAAGGCAATCTTTTGTGTAACTTGCAAAGAAAAAACAATCTTATATGTTCTATACAATTTGCTTAATTTACAATTTGATTAATTTTACATTTAGTGTAAGTAACAGTCCAGGTGTTTTAGTCTTGGTTTCTGTGCGTTTTCTCCCAAAATATGATCTTTTGGCAAATTAGTGAAGGACACTTCCTTGTGTATCCTGTGTTGCATTCGGTTTACCATTGTTTGACCAAATATCACCCAATTCTGTGTTGCCTGGACAAGTCGATACGAGGGATTGTCAGGGCTGCCAACTCTCCCTGATTATCCGGGAGTTTCAAGATTTTGGACCTAATCTCCCAGTCTACAGATTTTGTCTTAATTCTCCCGGATTAGGACAATCACCAACGTCGATTTATGCACTAGCCATTTGATTCTTCGTTGTCAAAGGTTTTAACAATAAAAATTATTTGCATTGCACATTAGAACTTCGTTTTGATGGAAAAATAAAATTATTTCCCTGCTGCCTGCGTTGTTTTTAATCAGTGGTCAAAATGGCGCCATTTTCCGTAAACACTTCATCTTACAGGGATTTTTTTTACCCGTATTGACGCCATTAAAGATGTCGATATTTTATTAAACTAGTACATAATATGTGAAACTTGAAATCAACTGTTATTTGTGTCGATAATGAAGTTTGACAATAAACCAGTGTATATATCTATATACCGGCAGGTATTTACAACTGCATAGTTGGCTTTTCGATAATGACGTCATTTCCGACGTGACATCATCGATTTCAATGGAATATCAATTCTCCAGATTTGAAAACTTCCAGGGTTGGCAGCCCTGGATTGTCATTTTGCCTGTTAGCGCCCCGTAATTGACAGAAGTGACTCTCTAAAACATCTTGGTTGACAATTGCTAGCTTGATAAACGATCCTGTAAATCGTGCTAGTTTAATCTTTACCAATGATGTGAAGCCAAGGACCATTGATTGGATGTCAAACCAAAGTTTATACGAGATGAACTCTGATTCGGCTAACACAAAGAACACCAAGTAACTTAGACAATCTGAATATCGAAGAACACAGAGTAACTTAGACAATCTGTGGTTGCTCGTGTCATAAATGACATGTTTATCTGTGAATAGCTTGACAATGAAACTGGTGTGTCCCAGGAAATCAATTGTGGCACTTAATTGTGGTACTCTTTGTTAATTAAAGCGAGGTGGTTTTGATATGCCTGAATTAAACAAGTATACAGCTATTTCATTTAAGGTTGTTCCCGAGGAAAGCGGAAAAGTCTAACACGAGTGAGATAAAGCCTTGCTGGAAATCGCTAACAAAATCATTAATTTTTTAGCAATTCCCTGTAAGCCTTTCGCGGTTGTATTCGACTTTTCCACTTTCCTCAGGACAACCTTAATTGAAATAGCTGTATGTAATTTAAAGTAATATTGAAGGAACTAATCGAGTGAAGAAGCTAATTGTAATATACGCTATAATGCTGTAGAGAGGGTGTAATGTGTAACCCTATTAAGATACAATCAATGCATATTAACTAATGAATAAGTTGTTGCAATTATAATCGGACATTAATAGCATACAGAACAATGCACAGGAACAATAAGTACTATAGTTCTACTGTACCTTCACAAGTATCAACATTTTCCTGTCTAAGACATCTTCAGCCAAACTGTTCCGCATTTGCGAATTAGGGTTAAGTTGGAAGTGATCCTCCGTCAACTTCTCGTGCACTGGACACAAATTATTTTGTTCATCCCATGCGTAGGCATCCTTCCAATGCGACCAAAAAATGTTTTGGCCACCCACTGTCAATTTTCTTGTTGATCCACTTCTGGAACTTTTTTCGACATTGTTTCGGATTTTCTTTACATTGTGCTGCAAATAAATGACAATTTTTAAGAGTCAATGGACGATACTATCCAATATTGACTAGTTATTTGTGCACACAACTACAGTATAGGTTGTCAATTAACGTGACGTCACAACTACACTGTTTTCAACTTAGAACCACCTTAAATGGAAAGGATTTCAAGTTTGGTTCTCACAGGCTATGGTCAGAGGAGCATAGTAGATTCATTATATAATAGTTATTTTTTCTGAATCCGTATGCCAAAGTGCAAATTTTGACTTTGAAGTAAAGCATATTTTTTGCATGCAAAAAATTGTCCAAGTTTAAAATTCTGTAAAATACTCAAAGTCAGTCCAAATTCAAAAGTTTACTACTACTAGAAATGCAGCAAAATTATCATTCTTTCTTTAGATGCAAATGGCTTTTGTTTGAAATAAAACAAGAATTTTTTTCTGATATGTGTTGAAACGGTCTCAATTACTCAAATCATGATCGTTGAGCGTATAAACACAAAATTGCATTTTCCTCCTAAAATAAAAATCTAATAGACTTTTTAGCATTTTTCCCATTCATAGCCCTACGTTTGGGCATTATTCGTTAAATAAAGATTCTATCTATATAGATATCTATCTATGCATGCATGGAGTTAACTTTGAAATTTTTTGTTTACCATTATAGTCAAGGTTCTCATGTGGAAAACCATCTCAAATCGCTGAATATTTGATGTTTGTTTGCAATGACCTGCTGTCAGGGAAAGTTGCCAGGCCCTCAACATTACAGAAACTGGAGACCTATGTAGCAAAAGAAATTCAAAAGAAAAAAGAATCGGTGTGAATTTCTAAATGCAAAGAGCTTTTGGCTATCTTTGATGAGTACAATTGTATGGCGTACTAGCCATGAATAGTTATTCACATTACACTTAATACTGTAAAACCTTGGCAATAAGTTATACAAGATAATCAGTGGTATTTTATATAAAATATAAGGCAAAATGACTGGTGAATTGTTGCAAAGATATTAACATTAATATGTGCTTCTTTGTACCAAATTTTGGTTAAGTATAACCTCAGTGTGCTTAATAAAAGAAGAGCTTTCTTTAATTCTCTCCTGTGCTACTAAGGTGTTTTTCTGCTGCTCCAGTTCCCCTCCGTTACTTTTAAAGGCTCCTTTATTATTTCATGAAACAAATTTTGTTCATGTTAGTTACCTAAGTGTATACTGCTTATTTTATAACTATTTTATTACTCTTTTCAGATTCTGACATGGTTGCATCCCACCCCAACAGTTAAAGATGCTGCTGGGAAAAAGTGCCAGCTATTGGAATAGCATAAGATGTTATCGAATCATTTACGGACATTTCCCATACAGTAAGTTAGACACAAAAGATATTTGCGATAATAGTTTATAGTATACAGCTATATGAATTAAGGTTGTCCCAACTTGTCCCAGAGCAAAGCGGAAAAGTTGAATACCAGTGCAAAAGGCTTCCCAGCAAAGCCTTTCATGCACATATTTGACTTTTCCACTTTTAATTGAAATAGCTTCATGTATATTGTCTACAGATTTATCAATATTAATTATGCATAGTAATGAGGACAAATTTAGTGATGTCTAGGAAATGCTCCTCCCAACTGTCGTGAGCGGCGGTTGTGTGCTTGAGAGCTCTGATTATTTTATTTTTGAGCTCAAACGTTATTATATACATAATGCCTGATACAATAACATCTCTAAAGAAAGAAAACGATGCTCTTAAACGAGAAATTGAATCTTTAAAGACGAATTTTGGCAAACTACAAGAAATGATGGAACGCCATGAAGAACCAGTGAAGCAAGACGGCCCGAGTAAAATTTTGCAAACTCAAATCCACACCTTACAAACTAGCCTTCAGTTTCTAAGTGATAAATACGATTCTGAGAGTACTTCTAAAGCTGAAATGAAAAAGGAAATGAACAAACTAAGCTCAAAATTGGCAGAAATAGCCATCAAAGTCGACCACGTTGGCGATGCGCTTGAGCAACTTCAGGAATATAGTTATCAGTATAACATTAAAATTCTTGGCCTTTCAGAGCGAAGCGAAAGGGAATCGGCGATTGAAACCAGCTCAATGTGTGTAGATCTTTTTAAATCGATCGGAGCTGATGTAAACCTTAGCGACATTGATATCGCTCATCATGTCCCCAGTAGAAGACAAGATGGCAAACCGCGTCCGATAATCTGCAAATTTGCTCGTCGAATTGCAAAAGAGATTGTGATGAATCGACAAAGCGAAACCTCTAAAGTCAACTCATCCGTACGAATGTTCGACCATTTAACTCCGAAAAATCAGCAAATTTTATTCGAAGCGAGATCATTTAAAGAAAGAAACGATTATCAATTTTGCTGGACAAAGAACTCTGTTGTTTATTTAAGAAAAAATCCTTCCTCCCGCGCTATCAGAATAAAAGATGTTGAAGATCTTCAGAGATTAAACGAGTGACAGTGTACAACATAACTAGAGCTAAGTTACAGTTATTAAGTTTATTTAGTCATTTGTTATTTTTATTTTTGGAAAGAATGAATATTTTTATTAATGTCGAATTCACTAATTGAACTTCCATTTTATAATGTCGACCTTATCCAGGAGTTTTCCTTTACTAACAATTTAAACCTTCCTACTATGAAACATCTTAACAGCTATTCTAGTATGTACGACCTGGGGCTTTTTAATATAGACACATCTACCGATACAAATGTAGATATTAATTCAAGGCATCAGTCAATTCGATCTCAGTATTATTCACCTCATAAATTTGCAGAACTTAAGAACTCTCAAACAAAACACATTATATTGAATAAAAGTTTTTCAATGCTACATAACAACGTAAGGAGCCTGAAACGTAATTTGGAAAATTTGCAAACTCATTTGTTACAAGAATTAAATTTTAATTTTAGCATAATAGGTATTACTGAGACAAAAATTAGAGATAATGACTTTTTTGACTTTAATCCTAATATGGAAAACTATAAATTTGAATTCGTTCCAACACCATTAGCTTCAGGAGGCGTGGGGATGTATATTCGTGATAACTTGAAATATACTATAATATTTGGGCTAGTATTCCAAAGGTCGTAGGTTCGAATCCCACCGTGGCCGGGCATATTTTTCAAGCTCGCCCGGTGTGGATATACACTCAGAGTAACTTCACAAATATCATATTCACCTGAGTACACAACACCAACACAGAAAAAATCATATTACTAGAATACATTGGTATCGAAGGAACTAGATTCTGTTCCGAAATATCACTTACTCGAACCGTCCTGACCGCGTAGCTCAGTTGGAAGAGCATTGGACTAGTATTCCAAAGGTCGTAGGTTCGAATCCCACCGTGGCCGGGCATATTTTTCAAGCTCGCCCGGTGTGGATATGCACTCAGAGTAACATCGCAAA